TGCGTACGTATGTGTGGGGCGGAGCTATCAAAATAGGGGCAAGACCCTTTTGGGGAAGGGGCGTGTTTGTTTTGGTGATTTCAAATATAAACATTGGCTACCAGAAATCCCTCACTCTGCCTTTAAGACACACTTTGTATGATTATAATCAATGTTGAAGACAGTTGTGCTACTCCTTTTTGTGGAAACCGTGATATGTTTTTTTCAGGTTTCTTTGATGAATAGAAAGTTTAAAATGAAGAAACTGCTGATAGCCTCGTGGGCAGAGGGTCGATATATAGCGTCATTGCACTTTGGGCATCCCGAGTTTGATAGGACAGTGTAGAAGTGACAGGAAGTGAAGCGGGAGAGAGAGAGGGGGGTGGGATAGGGAAAGGTCCTCAAGCCGGGATTCGAACTCGGGATGCTAGTAACGTAACGGCGCTATATGTTGGCGCACTGCCCACAAGGCTGTCAGCGCCGATAACATTATAAATGCCTTTTGATCAATCCGATGCATCCTTTCTAAATGAAAGTATTAAGTACTTCAAAAAAAAACAAAACAAAAAAAATCTTAGTGACCCCAAATGTTTGAACAGTACTGTATGTCATTATTACTCGCAAATAATTGCTTATTCTTGCTAATAAAAACATACAAAATAATTTCATTACAATTCAATACATAATACTTTTGAAGTTTTTTTTGTTTCATTTATTATTAATGCTAAATGAACAGCCTTAGTTATTTTTTCTTCTATAACAAAAGGAAGAAGTGATTATTTGGTATGCTAAAACATGCTGGGATGTCTGCAGATGGATGGAGGTGATCAAAAGTGCAGCGAGCTCCGCGGGACGCATGAGTCTGCTTGTACCCAAAGGCCCAGCAGAGATGAACAGGGGAAGCTGATTGTGTCAGACTGATCTCCTGGAGCTGAGGGCTGGGCCCACTGTCTGCCAGGACCAAACACACCATCATCACTTTATCCTTTCTGATTTGTGGCTCTGAGAAGCATCATCATAATAACTTGATTCTTGACTCTGGACTGTTAGCTCTCTGCTTGCTGGGAGTTTGAGCTGCTTATTGACACCTCGGACCGAAGAATTTGGTCGGAAAGTAAGCGCTCTGTAATTCTCTTCTCTAAATCTTTTCTTCTTGTTTTCTCGCTAATGAAACATAAAGTGGGCGTCTTGCTTTTCTAGAACCACATTAGACTGAAATAATTCTTATAGAAACACATTAGACTGAATTAAGTTATGTTTGTGTTTATCTTGCTAAGGTTACACTTATTGCTGTATTCAGGTTTTAAGGTCTTTGCTAAGATGAATCTGTCATTAGGATATTTAATGACTCTTGTTACTCCAGTTTTTTCAGTAGAAATCTAGTCCCACAGGACTACAAAAATGCTTTCTATTATTTGTCCTGGGACAACATGACTGAATACTACTGAATGGAGTGTTGACAAACAGAGGGTTTGTATTAAGTCCAGCTGGTGCAGTAAGTGAGATGAAGGACTAGCGCTGTAAAATGTGTCTTGCTGATTTCGAAACAATGTTACGTTGGTCAGAGAGCACGTTTACAGGGCGCAGCTCAGAAACTGGAGTTCTATGATCGAGCGCCTTCGCACTTTTAAAGGGCTGAGGGTAAGATGTTGGTACAGGAAGGAATCCGAGAGGAATAGAAATGTTATTTTGAAGATGAGGCAGCTGAATTGGCTTGTATAGTATGTGCTGTCCTCTTCAAGCGTAGGTTAAAGCATGTCTTGAAGGTCATTATTAAGCGACTGTTACTATTTAGGGGATTTTTAAGGTCTGATCCGTTGATTTTTGATCTCACAGCATGAAAACTAATCAGATATTTATTTTAAAGTGAAGACTGACCAAAAAATATTCACTAACCAAACTAAATGTAATGTTTTAAATGGTGTATTCACAAATGTCACTAGTTTTGATTTTTGGGATACTTGACAGATAATAAGCTCAAGTCTAAACTAACCCCCTTATGGGGGAAGAAGGTCATCCACAGTGTAATACTGCACTTTTCTTTCAGTTTCTGCCCTCTACACACAGGGAAGAGGAAATGGTTCTGGTGAAGTTCCAGTTTTGTCAAAGTTGAAGTTAAAACAACAATGCAAGATGTTCTCGGTCGGCCACTAAATCCTAAAATTTAAACTGGGATCAACAGCCTAAAACTGCCTGTTCCCCTTTTATTATATTGTATATGTGAAATTTTTTTTTAAAGCATATTAATAATTAATTTACAAGTTCTTTCCCTATGATCTATTGATAAACAAACATTTTTTCCTTTTCTTTTTTACTACCAATATTTTTTGCGAGGCATATCACACTATATATATATATATATATATGTGTATATGTATATATGTGTGTGTTGCGGTCTTGTTTTGTTGGAAGGCCAGTTGAGTTATTTGTTGTTTTAGTAGCATGATGAAGTTCCACAGCATGTGTGACAGTGTTATGTTTACTTATCGGCTTCACTTTATGAAGACAGATCTGTTCGACATCTGATTTGAGAGGTTTATTTAGCCTCTTTTTGGATTATTAGTTGTATTTATAAGGCTTTTGGCTTTGTCCGTTCAACATGCTGTACAGGGTCCAACCAAAGACCTGAAGAAGTCTTGCATGAGCCTGAAAAGGTTGGCCAAAGTTAGTCGGCCACACATTAAGCAGTGTTGCTTTGTGTACTCATAACAATATACTGTAAGCAGCTATCATCTCGACATGAGCTCAGCTAGTCTGATGTGTTTCAAATTCCTCTTAATTCACTAATGCACTGTGTGGGCTCATGGTCTCCACCCTTTTTTGTACATTTTATGCAAGGACTGGAATAATTTTCTTCCTCGTTTGCAGTATCTGGCAATAGGGAGGGTTGGATGAACGGTTGTTTTCCATCCCGGATTGCTAAGCACGAGAGAAGGGAGTTTACTCAAAGACCTCAGTTTCCTGTCTCATTCTGAGAGGCACTAAACTGAGTTTTGATGAAATCGCTTCTCTCCAGCTTTTACTATTTATTTTGTGTAGCATGTTGCTGAGGCGTTGCTCCTGTACACACCGCATGTAGTAAGTTTCATGTTATGACATTGAAGGGCTATCAAATAAAACTGAACTGTGTAAACATTTAATTCTCTTCTTTTTGTCCCATTTAAAGGGTTAGTTCACATAAAAATAAAAATCGTTACCAGTAACCCACCCTGTATGAGTTTGGTCATCATTAAAACACAAATGAAGATATTTTAATGAAAACTGAGATTTCGGTCCTTTCACTAAAAGATCACTACACCAAAACTTTAACACTTAAGAAAGTTCATAAAAACATTGTAAAAGTAATTAATTCAAGTCCTATTTCAATAAATAAAAATCGTTTGTTAATTGAAATAAGGCTAAAATAAATATTTGATGAAAAAAACTAAAACTTAGTTTGTTTATTGGCAAGGCAAAATTTCTCATTTACAAAAATTGCTATAAAACGTATTCTATAAATGTATTTTTTCTATAAAAGAGACTAATAAAAACAAAATGACAGAACAAAAATAAATTAAAATGTGAAACTGAAAATATAAAAATAAAAGCTAATTCTGAATAATTCATAAATTATACTAAAATAATCCTGCTTTGTGTTGTATAATATAAACGAATATATATAGGATTTAATTTAAGCTTTTATTCACAACGTACATACATGGAGCAAGTCAAATATAGTAAACAAGCTCAAGCGTATGTGCGTTGATCAATATTTATATGTGAATAAAAGCCTAAGTTAAATCTGTTTATATTATAAAACAATTAATAAAGAAAATGATTACTTTTACAATTCTTTATGAACTTTTTGGAGCTTCAAAGTTTTGGTTCCATGGATTTTTAATGAAGGCACAGAATTCTCTCAGATTTGTGTTTCGAAGCTGAATGAAAGTCTTATGGGTTTGGAATGACATGGGGGTGAGTAAATGATAACAATTTAAATTTTTGGCTGAACTATCCCTTTAAGCCTTTTCCTACATTTCACCTTGTAATTTATGTCCTAAATGCAAACGTGAGAAATAAACACTTTTTACACTAGTGTATTTACATTTCAATGTACTTAATGTAATTTAATGGAATACACACAAACCTGGTTCGTCATTTCATATTTTACATTTCAGTTAGACATTTCAAAATTCTATAAAGTAAACTGTAAAAACATCTCATAATACAAGCTGGAATGGAATGACTGGTGTTCAGCTGAAGGAGCAGGAGGTTGGCTCATGAAGAGATCAGGATAGTCTTTCCATCGGACGGAGCTGACCAGCAGTCAGACGGACCTCATCGTTTTGAAGGCATGCTGTTACCGTTGAGTGTAAACCTGCAGGGTTGAGACAAAGGAAGTCTCAGAGTTCACTCCTGCGGAAGATTTAGTACTGCATGCAAGTGCCACAGTGCAGCACAATATCTTACAGCATTGAATCAGCATGACCTGAAAAACTGGCATAATCAGAAAATGACATAAAATACAATTAGATACTGTGTGTACAGACACATAGGGGAGACTGTATATTAAATGTGTTTACCTGCACACTCTCTCCATAATGTTATTGAGTAAACGGTCTGAGATTCCAGGGCTGGACTCCTCTGCGAGGCTGAATGCGTTTTCCAGCTCCTCCAGGGCGCATACACCGCTCCCGCTAACACGCCGCTTCTCCTTCAGCTGCATACAGAACATAATCCACGTGTTCTGACTTGACGTTAAAGCAGGAGGTCCAGGCTCACTTGCATAAATGTACGTTTTTGAATTATTTACCTCTCTGAAGATGGGTGTGATGAACGTTTTTAGAGACGGTGACTTTGGCTGCCTCTTCATAACGTCTGATGTCTGTTATTTAAAAAAAAATTAATAATTTCAGCTTTATTTACTTTTCTTTTTTTAAATCGAACCCCATATATATAATGATAGATGATAACGTGTGTGTGTGTATATATATATATATATATGAAATTTTTTAATAAGGTTGTTTTTTGTAAGTTTGCATTTTGATGACATTTGAGATGTATTTATGTTATACTACAGGTGAATTCCAAACAAACTCAAAGTCAAATCAGAAAAGAAACTGATCATATTCAATATAAAATTAGTATTACAGGTCATCAGTGCTGCCTTTGATACTATTAACATTCTCTTGGGTAGGCTCAAAAATTATGATGGCATTAATGGAATTGAATTGCTATTTTTAAAATCATACTTATCTGACAGTAATCAATTTGTAGCAGTAAACAAAGAAATGTCATATGGATCACAAGTTTGGTATGGAGTACCGCAAGGCTCAGTACTAGGGCTAAATATTTTAATCGACTATAGAGTGCAACAGTCAGGGTTCCGAAAGTAAAAATCCCATAAATTTTCTCCATAGGGGAACTGATTTTGAACAATAACTTATACTAACTAAATAAATATATATTTAACATCTTTACATATATAGTTTTTTATATATCTGCATTGTTTTTATTTCAATTATCATTTGTGATTCTTCATGGGATTTTAGTGTTCTTTCCCTCATTAAAGCTGTTCAGTACACAGTCTTGTACCTTTGTTTGTTTTGTCCAATTTTCTGATATTGTCTGTGCTTCAAATGAAAGTTTATAATGTTGTGATTTTTTTTTCTTGTAGCTGGCTGGTTTGGTTCATAACTTGTAAGTCTGAAAGACTTTTTTTTAAATCACTATTTGAAAACACTTCTTGAACCAAGACGGCTGAAAAGTGGACAGGCACTGTTGCAATTTATAAGACCAGTATTCAGCTGGTCATGTGATCACAATATGGCTCCCCTATATGGCACAATATGGCTCCCCTATACGCACGACTGTACATAATTTTAAACTAAAAAATATTTACAATTAAGTCTTTTACACTTACTCTCTTCGCATAAAATGTTTACTTTGACTGCATTTTTTAAGGAGGCTCTGAAATATGTAATACAGTATAAAAATCAGATTAAACATTGCCAGATCTGTCCCATTTCACACGTAGTATCAAAGGCAGCTCTGATGCAACTTTAATTTACCGCAAATAAGATTCCTTTGTAGACATGTGCTGCCTCTGTGGCACTACAAAGTCTGTTTAACCACCCTTTATGCCCTCTATATAGTACAGATTTTGTGCTGCTTTTGTGTTGGCTTTGCTGACTTTAGAACATATTTACCTTATTGTCTAAATGATTGAAACCTCTTTGTAACTTGTTCATGGAAGTGGGCCGCACAGTGGGGAAAGTCCACATGGGACACTGGTCCCTGTCATCCCCCTCCCCATCCCTGAGTGAAAACACACGGAGTAAACATACTGTACGCAAACTTCACAGGTTTGCTGATCGCTCATCTAGGAATGTAAAGCACACACATACATGTCAGAGTCATCAGAGCTTGATTCGTCCTCGTGGCCCTCTGACTTCCAGCGGCGGTATCGATCAATGAGCTCTGCCAGGTATGAGGTTTTCTTGGTGTAGCGGGTGATGAACTTGTGTTTCAGAAGCTCTTTGGCTGTCGGTCTCTGTTGGATGCGAACAGCATATCATAAAAATTAAAAGCAGTTTGCCTCATGTTTTAAAGTTTAATTAGCCTGTTTATACTAAAAGCTAATGGCATCACTGGTGAAGTTTTAATAGAATTACAGGTATTACAGTTCTATATGAATATTATTAAAATATCTACTGTATATGATATTTTATATGGAATTAACTGATAAAAATGGCATATTAAAATTCTATTCCATTTGGCCTAAATAAATTTAGCTTTACAACATTATGTACAGTTAAAAAATGTATATTCATTTTGAGATTGCATAAGATTACATTTAATAGTGCTATAAAAATATTTGTATTTTAAAAAAATAGCTTTAATCATCAGATGATGGCAAAGATGATCTAAATGTAAAAATAGGAGAAATTAAATCAATTACTCAATTGTTAAATTTTTTTGAAATCTATATTAAAATCAATATTAAATTAATAAAAAAAAACTATATTGAAAATACACTGACTAATAACCAATAAGGTACCAATATATTGTACATTCATATATATATATATATATATACATATATATATATATATAATTTTTATTTATTTTTTTAAATAAAGGTACTAACAAATCGTGGATCTTTATTGAGACAAGCCTCAACAAAGTCCTTAAAGGCTTTGCTGTAGGACCCTTCCAGCGCGGGTGGGTTATTTTTAGGGATGAGGAACAAGACTCTCATGGGGTGAAGTTCTGAGTTGGGTGGCTCTCCTTTAGCCAGCTCGATGGCTGTGATACCCAATGACCAGATGTCAGCCTAAGACACAGGGAAGAAAAAAGGGCAAAAAAGTGGGGGTCAGTACTTGTGCCATCTGTCTCTCTGAATATTTAATTGAGCTTATTTTCATCACGCAACAGCAGCAGTCTTGACTAGTTAACAGATGTTCACGTGGAGAACTTGAACATGATACCTGTTAGCTAAATGACAAGCACTTGTACCTTGAAGTCATATGCAGACTGTTTGATGACCTCTGGTGCCATCCAAAATGGAGTTCCTACAAATGTGTTTCTCTTAATTTGTGTGTCTGTTAACTGGCCAGCCACTCCAAAGTCTGCCAGCTTGACTTCTCCATGTTCAGAGAGTAACACATTGGCCGCTGTAGGAAAAAGCAGGGTTATTAATGTAGGGACACTTCACAGAACTAAACCGAGGTAAGTTTTGCAGACTAACCTTTGATATCTCTATGAATCTTCCTCTCTGAGTGGAGGTAGTCCAGTCCTTTCAGTATTTCTCTGAGAATGGTGGCGATATATGCTTCTTCCAAAGGTCCCGGCCTTAGCTGTGCTCAAACACATTAGAGGATGTTAAATATAGTGACATTTCCTGTGCCCTTGACATTTTCCACAGTTTTTCCCTTTAGTAATTTTCCGGCGTTATTCCTCACTTTAAAGAACCCACAAATATAATGAAAAGACCAACTCACCAGGTCCAGAGCCGATCCACCTCCCAAATATTCCATGATTATCCACAGCTTAGAGCCCTGAAAAACACAAGAAACCACAAGAAATTCTTAGTATTACAACTGATGGATTTTAGTATTATTTAGATACTTTTATAGTATTTGTTAAAATTTTGAATGAGCTTTTATTTTTGTTTTCAGTTCTCATTTTAATTTAAAATTTTATTAATTTTTATGATCAAAATTTGATAACACTTTACTTAAAGCCTTTATATAATGCATTATAAAAGTAGTTGCGTTGTAATGCGTTGTATGATCTCATGACTAAATGTAACCCCAGTTAGAATTCACTATAATACTTCTAATCTATTCATTTTTACACCATTAGAAAGTATAATGCACTAAAACATGACAAACAAATCGAAATATTATTTTAACTTTGGTTACAATTATTTATAAAAAGGTATAATGCATTACAATATGAATACCTTTATATAATGCATTATACATAAAAGGTTTGAGTGTTAGTGTTTATTTTTTCTATATAATTTGCATTTTATTTCCATTTTAGTAGCTTTAGTACTTCAATGTAAACTTATTCCACTTACAGTATTTCTACTTAGTTGCCAAGTTTTTCATTTAATATATATTTTTTTTAGTTATTAGTTTTATTTAGTTATTAGTTATAGTTTCAGTTAACCATAGCAGCTATGGTTTGAGACACACTGGTCACTGTCTACTTTTTCTGTATGGAAAAAAAAAACAGCTGAAAGTTTGGAAAATTCCTCATTTTGTGTTTCATGGAAGAAAGTCATTGACACTTTATAATAAAGTACCATGAACCACCGATGAACATTGTTCATTCATTATTATTCCTAAAACGTACATATACAAAATGTATTTGTATATGTAGAAATGAACATTTTTCCGTCTTAAAGTATTGCTTATTTTTAGTGCATAATCTAATCTGAAGTCATTGTAAAGTGAGTGTTACCAGGAGGTCATGTGTTTTTTAAAAGGATGGCATTTGGATAAACTATTCCTTTAAAACTACAGAAATAGCATGTAATATAATAAGAGCTGTGCCTGAAAGAAAGAAATCTCCACAAACCGTCAGATAGGAGCCGTAGTATCTGGTGACATAAGGGCTGTCACACTGGCTGAGGACCGTGATCTCCTGCTGGATGTCTTCAATCTCATCCTCTGCTTCCTCCAAGTCAATAATCTTAATGGCCACCACCTCTTTTGTGCGGTTGTTTATGCCCTTGTACACCTCTCCAAAAGAGCCTTTACCAATTCGTTCCAATTTAGTGAAGTATTCCTCAGGATTCAAACGTGAATTCTAAAGAAAAACAAAAAAGATTTTTCAATTCTTACCAGATATTTATGACAAGATCCAACACTGTGTGTTTTCTTTACACAAGTGATGAACTTTATATGTTGTCCTATTATTCAAGCAACAAATGCAGGAAGATCTACCCAATCATCACTCCACTGAAGGTCCGGAGAAGATGAGAATCAATAAAGAGAATTGTTAGAAATCCCATGTAGTTTTTTAAGCAAATTTTTCATTTTTCTGCTGTGCCTAACCACTAGGAAAACACTTGGAGCATCTGCTTCCTTGCTCGGTACAACATTGCACTGACAATCCATCTGGAAGTGGCACTGTTTTATCAAAACAACAACAAGCTCTTTTGACGACAAGACTCAACGTTCAGGTGATAAAAGACCTCCTCTTGGTATCAGCTCGACATCTGATTTCCGCATTCGTCACACATTTATTGCACCTTTCTAAAGCACTGAGCAATCAAAACGCAAACCTTTACTATTCTTGGTAGTACCACCCATTGGAGGCTCCATAAAATGAGATCAACAGGGTATTTTTAACAATTCTCAGAAAGACGAGTTAATTATTCTGCCAGCTACACCTGTGCGATCGGTGGGTGCGCCACTCTTTCATCACAGATACTCTGAGGTTCAACCCTCATCAAAACATGATACACTGCAATTATCATACTGACCGACAAAACGTGCGCATGGCCAACATAACATAAACAGATGGCATCCATTATCATCTGGTTCGGTACAAAATAACCACACGGTCTCATATTTAATATAACGGTTTTACACTGGGGAAAAACTGTGTTTTTCCTCTATTTTTCTCTGTTATGGTGTGGTGTCAAAAAGTGTGATGTGAAGAGACTCAATACGATATAACAGATGCGATCAGAGATGCATAATCTAAATAAATGTTAACTGACCATCAACATTTCCATTTTTGCAACCCTGTTACCAACATTTGAGATATTTTGCAAAGCTCTAGCAATAAATGTTTAAGAAATGTCAAAATTAAATGGACATAAAAAAAAAACAGGGTTGCAAATTTTAGCCTAAATTATGACGTTGCTCAATAGGACTAGCTAGTTTGGGACAATATTTTGGTTTTCTAGTTAGTGATAATATTTTACGTGAATTAAAGGATATGTTTGATATTTTTTTCTTTAAATAACTAGGCTAACAGGGCTGAAAGGCCAAGCTGGACACAAGCGGTCCATACTTCAATTTGTACAAACATTGAGATAACATTATCTGTGCTCCCTCCATGCTGTAAATGATCTGATTTCATGAAGTATTGTGAGATAGCAGGGCTGTTCAAAATGTGGGGAACAACTAAATAATAACTATTATAATTAGCTACTATTATTAGTTAAATATTAGCTTTTAGTGATAAAAAAAAATTACAATAGTCTTAACTAGACAGGCAAAAGTTCCCTTCTTAAGGGGTAGCCTACTGTCTGTTTCAAAATCAGAATTCTAGATTGGAGCTGCAGTTTGAATAGGCTACTTTTCATAAATCATAGCGGCCATCATATCAGCTTTCAACCATGAAAAGAAAAAAAAGAATTATGATATTCAGTTATGATATTGCTCCAAATTTTAATTTCGCTGCACCCTGAGTTGTGATCTATTCTAAACCCTATTAAAGAAAGAGACTGTATTTTCTTTATTTACCTGGGGGTTTTTTCCCCCAAGAGGAACATCATGTAAACCGCCTACACTTTAGTTCACATTAGGTAAATGTCACACTTTACATAACAGAACAATGTATTTACATAAACTACACTGTAAAAAATAAAATTTCCAAGTTGTAAAACAAAGATTATTGGAGTATGTTTTACAAGGAAATACTGTAATATTTCACGTTTAATGTGTTACTTGTACAATTTACAAGCAATTTCGGAGTAAAGAATTATGCAAATCCCACACCATTTTTTTCCAGTGTAACTACGTGTACTCATTATATTATAACCTATTATTTAGTGGAATTTATAATTACAAAAGCTTACTATAGTACAAGGACACTGCAGCTAATGTTAAGTTCAATCATCATCCAAAAAGAACAATAAGTAACTCTTATGTCTCAGTATGGAAGCCATGCCTGGAGGGTTTAGGTGTCATCTTCATCTCTCTGGATTACCTGGTTCCGAATGTTCTGAAGGTGTGCCATGTCCAGCTTAATCTACCTCCAGATCGGGGGTTCTTCTCAGATTTTTCCTCTTTCTCTCCTTCTTGGACAGTCACCCACCAAAGGAACAGCTTGTTCCCAATCCACGCCTCTCTAAATCATTCCAGTGGATCAGGCTGACCGGCTCTATGATTTACAAGGATTTTAATATGAAATCCTGTCCATACATCAGAGCAGACACTCAGTCTTTGGTATGGATATTTACGGTTTATGCTCTGCACAGGAGACTCCCTCTGTCTATGAAACCCCCGCTACTCTGACTAAGAGAGAGGAATTGTGTTAAGCGCGTGCGTGACCCAAAGACTGCTGGGAACCGTAGTTTTTCACTCACCACGCTGGCTATTGTGGTGTGTTATGCAACAAATGATATTTTTAGAGATTCGCAATTTAGGTATGCGAGTATAATATGTAAATGTTCTACTTTAGCTTAAACATTTCCTATTTATCATACAACAGATGGACAGTTGCACACTCGAGTCGTTTTATTTAGCCTAGCTAATATGACAACAAAAAAAATACCATGCTGCCATTAGTATATTGAAGACCTTATATGAGCAAATCATAGCTCTTTTCTTTGCCTTAAGTCTACATATTCCCCTAAACATCACTCTCACAAATCTTTAATGAAAACATTATTTGAATTCTTTAATTAATTGGAGAAACACTTAGCTTACATGATTTCAGGTTTGTCTACATTGTGATGGCATTTGAGTTGTTTTCAGCTTCCTGTTATTGTGTACAGAAAGATTTCTTGTGCAATATATGTGCAAAGTGCTGGTCACTTTCACTCTGGGGTTTGTCACAGTGGTTGTCCTTTTCTAAAAAACCATTTCATGCAACTAGTCTATTTTTTTATATAGAAAATCTGTCATGACCTGCCAAGTGGGGAAAATATGTAGAACCATTATCATAAGGGACATAATGGCATGAGATCAAGGAGTGCTTTTTTCTGTTTTCAGTTCATTTTGTGTTCAGTCAGAGCATGACCTGCCTTGCTTTGATAGTCAGTTTGAACTGGCCTGTTTCTATACCAAAATTATGATCCCTCAGTCTGTATGAATTTTCTTAGTGGTAACAGTGGTTAGATATTCTGTCAAAAAAATTTTTCTCTATTTAGGGACAGTTTGTTCCAATTTATTCCAATATGTCATGTGTAGTTTCAGTTTATGTCATCTTAGACATTTTTCTTTTTGTTTTATATTTTGTATAATAAATTCAATATGAATTTTCTTAGTGGTAACAGTGGTTAGATATTCTGTCAAATTTTTTTTTCTCTATTTAGGGACAGTTTGTTCCAATTTATTCCAATATGTCATGTGTAGTTTGTTTATGTCATCTTAGACATTTTTCTTTTTGTTTTATATTTTGTATAATAAATTCATATCACATTTCACACTTGTTTTTCTTTTAGTGTTCATAATAAACCATTACTTTATTGACAAAATGCCTTTGTAGGCTAGACATCACATCCATATACTTAGTTTCAATATACACAATGCCCTTCATGCTTTGTTTTGTATAGCCTTAATAAAGTTTCTTGTTGGAATCAAGGTAATTATAGTTTTAAATGTTTTTCTAAGGGCACTTTTTCTAACCTGAAGCCTTATTTGGTCTTTGTGGCTATATATTTATTTATAAATGATTACTTTTTTTTCTGTCGGAAATTGTAAAAAAGGCCAAAATTCTGCCTTAATCCTCTTTTACTGTCAAACAGGAGGCATTTTCACCTCACACCAAGATTACATTGATATAATCTTTTTTTATGATTCTGAGTCTGTTTTCCTGTTAATTTATTTTCAGTTTAAAGATTTCATATATTTCCAGATCACAATCGGTTATGGGTGTTCTTGTAAAAATAGTGTACTAAGGAAATAATTTTGTGGTACTAAGGAAATAATTTTTTTGTTCCTTCTTTTACCTGTAGGGAGCAGTATTGTACAAAAATATTGTCCAAAGCCAGGATACATTTATTTATTTACATTTATTTCAGGGTTCAAAGTAATTGTTGATTTGTAAACTGACAAGATTTTATTTTTTATCTCTAATCCTATCTCTATTTTGATTATAAAAAGTCGGACATGAAGAAGGACCGTAACCGATGAGAAGTCATGTGATGGGCATGCAGAGGCATGTAGAGTTTCTGCAGAAAACTTAAACATTATTCCTCAGAAGTGTGGTGTGTTACAACTTACTGAAGATTACTGGTCTCTACAGTGTCTCATTATTCACTGGAAATTAATTAAATGTAAACTATAGCAGCAGTAGCCTAACACTGGCCTCCATCTGTCTGTATTCAGTTGTGTTTTAACAAGATAAACTGTCACAAGCTATTTTTAATAGGCCTTAGAATCAGATTGAATATTTTAGTTTTTAAATTGGGATACAGAGGAAGCCTCAAATGTGGTCAGAAAAAAAGGAACTGTATCATTGTGTGCCACTGAGATACGCTTCAGCTTTCAACTCATTATGTTCCTATGTTGAACAGAACTGCCTGGTTGATCTTGTTCTACTTTTTGTTCTTTTCTGTCTCTGTATTTAAGGAAGTTCACTGTATTGTGCTTGAATAAGCCTTTTTATTATACTCCATCACTGAATCGGTTATTCAACATTGGAAACTTGATATGTTTTGCATATTCCTGCTTACAAGGATTTACTTGACATGTCAAAACAAATCTTGGTTTCATGTGTTTCTTTGGGAAAGCCGTTGTTTCGGCTGGGTGGGTGGCTCTAATGAATTCTAACTGACACGCTTGGAGCAAAAACAGTAATGACTTGCAAAACAACTCTATCAAAGATGGTGGGTGGGACTGGAGTAACATGACCTTTTTTTTGTTCAACAACTACTGTATGCACATTAAAATACCTTTTACAAACATTTTATACACAAAACTGTCCTTGTTACAAGAAAATAGGCATTTAGTGAGTTTGTGGCTGGCAAAAAGCACATTGGACTAAAAAAAAAAAAGCAAAAGCATCTACTGTATTTTGTCCATTATTTTGTATCAAATTATAGTTTGGTTGGCAACATTTTGCAATTTCCATACTTAAAATGACAATGAGGTTGACCTACAATGATGATAGATAGATAGATAGATAGATGATGGATAGATAGATGGATGGATGGATGTTGAAACACTTCTTAAACCTGAAATGAGTTTTGTAAATCCAGTGGTCAAATGCTGTCTAGCCACCTAACTAGTGACTGGTCTTTTTGTGAATGTCCACAAAACTGGAAGACTTTTTGAGTGTAGGCCTAGATATAAGGGGTAGGCTATTTTAGAAAGGAAAATTTAAAAGATAAAAAAGAGGAATTAGGGAGAATCAATAAATTATTGCTATTGAATAATATGTAATCATGTAATCAATAAAAAAGTAACTGTAGTCCAGGCCCGGATGCATCCCCTAGTATTGGTAGGTTTAGGAGTAGGTGTGGGGGAGGGGTTGGGATTAGGGGTGGGATTGGGATTAGGCAATCAGATAGCGATTTCAAGGAGGGGATGCATAATCTGGCAGGGGTACAGAATTCGTCTGCTGTGAGTGCAGGCAGGGACAGCATGTTTCAACCTTAGTGACATGACAACACCGCGGCCCAAAACAACAGACCGGTGTCGTGCCGAATTCTGCACCCCTGCCAGATTATGCATCAGAAACAGCCCACACTCTCTAAATTTTCTTTAACTGAAAATATGCATTTTCATTTATTCATAGGCTATGGTTGCAATAAAACTTTAGTTAAAAAATGTAAGTGCCACTGTTTAAAAAATGCTTTATTGACTGACCTTTCATAGACGTTCTGTTATGCTTTCAAATTTCATTCCATTTGTATGTAATTTCACAGTATTTTCACCTCCTAAATTACTACACTACTTGTGCAGTCACATTCTATAATGGTAGGCTACAATTTACTCAGACCGATGACATTTTTGTATGACATTAAAATTCTTTTTAGAATAATTGTACATAAATAGGTTAAGTAAAACAAATGTGATTTTTTTTTTCTTCTGGTAACTTTTTAACTGCAGGCAGACATACATTATGGTACAGTACAAATATTTTGAGTGTCCCTTGTTCTGTTGCTTATTCCTTTAAAAAATTACAATTATGTCCCTTATTTTCCATAAGTACCTTATTTTCCATTTCTTAAGTTACATCAAAACAAAAGCTCTAGAAAAATACAATGAATTACAAGGCTGTAGAGAACAGTGCACTATTGCAGACTTATATCTACTGAGGTTTTAATTACATTATTTTAATAGTCAGTCATGAACTAAAGTGGGCCGGTCTATAAGGCATGAAACTCCAGGGCTGAAAATGAGTCCCACTCCGGCCCTGCTGTAGTCTGATTACAAGACTATTTAATTAAAAATAGACTACTTATTTTTTTGGAATCTGATTACATAATCCAGATTAAATGTAATCAGTTGGCCAGCTCCATAAATATAGATAGACAGACAGACAGACAGACAGATAGATAGATAGATAGATAGATAGGTGTTTGTTTTCTACATTTGTTCTTTGATTAATCAAATCTTCTAAACACTAGCTCTTCTAGAAGGGCGGACTATCAAAGCCATAACAGGTTATCTCCGCCTTAACGGAGAGCTTTTCCATAGAAGGAGACTTCATGTGTGCAGCCCATCCAAACAGACCAAAGCCAGACAGCACTGCTTCCTGACAGCAGTTTCATCTCGCAGACTGCACCTCACAAATCTGCAGAGAGAACAATTCGCTGTCATTAAAAATGTCGATATTCGAGACTTTCTGAGGATTTAAAAGACTTTCCAGAAACAGCAAATGTAATCGATCACTGACTCTCTGCTCTTTTATCAGGTTCACGTTCATTCCAACAGAAGGTGAGAGCGAGTCTTCTCTATATAGTAGGCTAAAACACGCGCGTTTTCTTCTTTATGCAGATCGTTTAAGGCGCCATCAGACTTTGGAAACAAGAGGGTGGAGAAGAAACGCTTTCATACACGGCGATAAAGGTGGAGGTTGTCAGCTGATTGTAATTGATCTCCACTCATGAAGGGCATGGAGATGTTGCGCCGCTCCTCAGTGTTTGCGGCTGAAGTCATGGAGGTGTTTGATCGCTCTCCCACGGATAAGGAGCTCGTGTCTCAGTCTAAAGTCTTGTGCAGGGATTACATTCACTCCAGACTCCATCGGGCTGGAATCGGATGGTCTAAACCAGAACATGGATCCGGAGGAACACTGGCTGAGGTGTCTTCAGTTCTTCTGTGGTTGGGTAAGACATTTGACGTTTCACATGTGTACATTCATGA